GGCCTATTTCTTTGCCAGTACCATGCTGTTTTTATCACAGTGGCTTTGTAGTATAGTTTCAAATTGGGAATTGTTACACCTGGTGCCATGTGACTGTTGCCTATAATGGCTTTTGCTATTCTAGGTCTCTTGTGGTTCCAAATGAATTTTTGGATTCTTTTTTCTAGTTCTGTGAAATATAAGTGTTGGAATTTCAATTGGCATTGCATTGAATGTATATAACAGTTTTGGTAGTATGGCCATTTTCACTATGTTGATTCTTCCTACCCAGGAGCAGGGGATATCTTTCCATTTTTTTATATCCTCTTCGATTTCTTTTTTCAGAGTGCTGTAGTTTTCAGTGTAGAGGAGATCTGTACATTTCTAAAATGAGAAAGAGCTAAACCTAATAGAAATTCATGTATTGAAAAAACCTTGACATTTCAGGTACTAGAAATCCAAGTTTTTATTCTTGTGAACTCTTCTTTGGATGCACTGTAGTTTATTATTATCTCTAATGTGTCATGAGTATTTATACATTTAAATTGAAAAGACAAAAAGTACATCTAAGCCACTTGAGATCACTGGGGTCATAGCAGCATGTTTGATGAAAACTGCCTTCATAAATCTATTTAGTACTCCAGATGGAAGTATTTCTTGGCATTGACAGTAATGACAAGTGCACTGATTTTCTAGTTAATATGAAGACTTCTCTGAGAACAACAAAACTATAGGTGAGCAATAAATAAATTCTAGATTATGGTTGTCAAAATACATTCTGTGCACACAGAGGTTAAAAACAAGTGACATATTTTTGACAACAAGGAAAATGCATTCTTGATTATTCAATCCTTGAAAATAGTGTGGTACGTCTCATAAAGATTTGTTTTTTTAGGAAGGGATTAGTTGAATGTTAAATAAGTACATACTCCTTAAATACTTGCTTCAAAATAATGCTTTAATTCTTGGTTCTGATACTGAATTTCTGAAGGGGATGACAAAAGGTCTGACCTCATCTGTGCAATTATTTTTGATAAATGAAGTCCCTGTGGAAAACATTCTTCATGAACCAGTGTGCTGTTCATGTGGCTGTAGAATACTCATAAGTTAGAAAAATAATATCAGAATTTTGGGTTGAATCAAGCAAAAAAAGCGAAGTACAAAAGAAGAGAAGTCAATATATTTTAATTTTAATATATACACAGGCTCAAAGAGTATTTACACAGTAGTTTTAAATGTAAGTAGACAGAAATATATAATTGAAGAAAAAAGTAAATTTGGTTGTAAAAACTTTATAAGGAACAAAAAAGGGCAAAGCCAGCTGTTCCTCAGAGAAAGGTCTACTACCTAGAATATTTAAAGAACTAAAAAAACAAACAAACAAACAAACAAACAAAAAACAGACCCACAAATATATAGACCCAATCTAAAAATGGGCATCTGAAATGAACAGACATTTCTCTGACAAAGAATTCGGGATAGCAAATAAACATCTGAAAAAATGCTCAACATCACTGGCCATTTGAGAGGTGCAGATGAAAATAACACTGAGATTCCACCTCACCCCAGAAAGAATGGCTGTTATCAAGAAATCACACAATAACAAATGCCTGCGGGGTTGTGGGGAGATAGGAACCCTTCATTGTTGATGGGAGTGCAGACTGGTGCAACCATTGTGGAAATCAATAAAGAGATATCTCAAACAACTGGAATTAGAAGTCCCATTTGATTCAGCTATTCCCCTGCAGGTTATCTTCCCAAAATAATTTAAAAAATCATACCACAGTGATGATATATGTTTACCCATGTTTATAGTGGCACAGTTTGTAATAGCCAATTGGAAACAGCCCAATTGCCCCATCAGCTCGAGACTGGATTAAGAAGTTGTTTTTTTAAAAAATAAAATGGAGTACTACTCAACCATAAAAAATGAGAAACTAGAGTCATCTATAGCTAAGTGGATGCACACTGAGGCCATACTCTTGAGTGAAATTAATAAGTCACACATGTTTAAATACGGAATAGTTTCTCTGGTGTGAAAAAGTAAAAGTGTAAATAAGGATTAAAATGTATAATTGATATTGTGTAATGGAAGAAAAGTCTAAAAGAGTAGAAGAAGTGGGAGGGGTAGGGGAAAGATAAAAAGGGGAAAGACATATGTGCAGAGGAAATACATGGAAACAAAATCTTTGTAAACAAAGTTTTATTTTGACTTTGAAATCATGTGTGGGGACATGTG